ACGTTGCTGCGGGGCCCCTCGGGGGGCCCCCTGCTGCCGAAGGACTCGCTGCTTTCGCTGGCATCGAGCCGCCAGGAACGGCGGAAGGAACGGAGGCAGCATCTGCAGCAGCAGCTGCAGCAGGAGCTGCAGCAAGAGAACCTTGGGCCGCGCTCGCTGTCCCGCGGACTGCGGAGCATGGCCTCAGCCTCCTTGACGGGGAACTCCCGAAGGCGGCAAGGAGAAAAAGAAAAAGAAAAGGAAAAGAGCAGAAGCAAAGACCGAGGCGGCAGCAGTCTTGAAAGGCTGCAAACTAGTGAGACTCTGCAGGCCCTCCCCTTCACCGAAACTCGAAGAGAAGTCACCGGCAGCGACCTCGCCTCTGCGTGGTCCACTGGAGACATTTCGTGGCGGCTTTGGCGGGACTTCGAGGAGCAGCAGGAGCGGCAGCAGCACCGGCCTGCGAATCTGCACAGCAGCCAGCAGCAGCACGGGCAGCAGCTGCCCGGCGAGGCGGGCTTCACCATGTCTGCCGGCTTCGCCTCCGACCCGGGCCTCGCCACGCTCGTGTCTGCTGCTGCCAACCCGCAGCAGCAGCAGCAGCAGCAGCAGCAGGCGAAGCACAGGGCCCACAAGACCCGACACGCGCACCGCCAGTGCAGCATGATGTCCCACGGCAGGGGCAAGGGGGCCCGTTTCAAAGTGCCCAAGTCCTTCCGGCGGTGGCTAGTGTCGCAGTACCAAGGCCCCAGCGGGTCTGGGGGCCCTAGCCAGGCAGCAGCAGGGGGGGCCCCCGGGGGCCCCAAGGCCCCGGGGGGCCTCGGGGCCGAGGCCGCAACTGGGGAGCGGCTGCGGAGGCTCATGCTGGCCTCCGAGCCCTGGGCCAGTGTGGACATGACCTTCACCGTTTCTGCAGAACATCTGAACCGCCTCGAGGGCACCACGGACTCCACACTGGAGCCCTGGCGGGTGGAGGCTGTGGGGCGAAAGGCCTCTCTTTCCGATGCCACTTTGCTGGATGTCAGGGCCACTTGGCTCAACTTAAACTTCAACGTGGCCCTCCTGGATGCCCTTCTGGTCTACGGCTACGCGCTCATAGGGGTTGTGGTTAGGCAGCGCACTTTGCTGCACCTCAACAGCCGCAGGCTTGGGCCCAAGCACTCGCCCGGGGGGCCCTCGGGGGCCCCCTCCCAAGGGGGGCCCCCCGCCGCCCGCGAGCCCAACGTCCCCACGCAGCACGGGGGCACACTCCGGAGGCCTGAGTCCGTCGAGACCCGCAGCGCCCGCGTAGGAGCTGCTGCGCCCACAGAGCGAGGGGCCTCGGAGCCGCGGGGGGCACTGCAGCAGCAGCAGCAGCAGCAGCAGCAGCTGCAGTACCAGGGCCTCTGCGGCTCTGAGGGCAGCGAGCTGTCGCGCGCACTGGATGCAGCAACAGCAGCAGCTGAGGTGCCGGGCTACTATGCAGTGCTGCGGCCAGACGGGACAGTTGTGGGCAGCAGCGGCTTTGACTTGTTTGTTCCTCTCGAGGATGCATTATCTCTGGAGCTTCTGGGAGACCATTTGCTGCAGCGGTCTTCAGTCCGCATGTCCCCCTGTGCAGAGTTCGCAGGGGACCAGCTCAAAGAGGCGCAGCAGCAGCAGCAGCAGCAACAGCAGCAGCAGCAGCAGCATTCGCAACACGCGCCAGCAGCGGCCCCCGAGGAGGCGGGGGAAAAGGATGCCGGAAGGCCTGCGCAGCTGAGCCATCCCCAGCAGCAGCAGCAGCAGCAGTCTCACACTTCTTCTGCTGCAGCTTCTGCTTCAGACGGAGGCAATCCCGCAGCAGCTCCCATGGGCAAGGACCAAAACAGCAACAATCCCCTGCTTTACAACTTGCTTGGCCAGCCGATAGCCATCATGACAGGTTCGACTTGCTGCCTCTTTGTTGCTTCTCTGCTGCCTTTTTGCTGCTTCTTTGCTGCCTCTTTGCTGCCTCGTTGCTGCCTTTTTGCTGCTTCTTTACTGCCTCTTTGCTGTTTCTTTGCTGCTTCTTTCCTGCCTCTTTGCTGCCTGGGTTATGCGTGTGGGTTCTGGCCTTGGGGAGTTCTGCGTCGGCAGCAGAAGTTCCCAGTGTGGGGGAGTTTCAACGATGCTTTTGGCATGCGTGTGCTGAACTGCTGCTTGCTGCTGCTGGTTGCTGCTGTTTGCTGCTGCTGCTTGCTGCTGCGTCTGCAGACCTGCACATCGAAGACGGGGCGGACGTGCTGAGCGGCAGCTGGAGCGTGGTGAAGGACCAGGGCAGTTTCTCTTTGCCTCTGGACGAAAACGGGCGCGTGTTGCCGTTTTTGGTGCGGCTGCGGCTGCTGAATTATGTTTACGACTTGCCTTCGAAGATCTTTTGCTTCACCACCGAGACCCGCGAGGTGGTTCGCCTTTCAGTTCCTGAGCAGCCGCTGCCCCCCACAATTCACATGCAGCACGAGACGGGTGCAGAGGGTGGCGACGAGGCCTCGGACGTGCCCCGGAAGAGGGGCGCCTTTGGGCGGGGCCCCCGGGCAGCAGGGGTTGGGAGCAGCAGCCACTACGCGAGCGAGGCTTCCGGCATGGGGGGCCCCCCGCGGGGCACCCCCCGGGG